TCCAGGGTGGGTGTTTAGCAGAGCTGGGCTTCTACTCTCTCCCCGCTCCATTTCTCTTCCTCCTGCCTGTGAGCTGGGGTGAGGGGAGGGCTTGGGTCCCGCCAGATTGCGACTGTGCTACTTTACCTTTTTCTGTGAGGTCTTCTCTTTTCCTCAGATGTAAGAAGTCTATTGCAGTCTTGTTTCAGGTTGCTCTTTCAGGATTAGTTGTATTTGCTGAATTTTCGTGTTATATGTGGTTTTGAGAGGAGATTTTGCCTGACTTCTCACACCACCATCCTTTTCTCCTGGAAGCCTGGTTTCTCTTTTTAAATTTTTTGTTTATTATAGGCTGTAGGCTTGCGATTACCATAGCTCCCTGACTATATAACAGTCTATATTAAGTTGCTAATTGCTCTACTTCAAACAATCTAAATATGCTTTCTTCTTCTTCTTCTTCTTCCACACTTTTTGCATTGGATGTTGTAATCTGCACTTTTTCTGTATACCTTGACTAATTTTGTGTATAGTTGGTTTTATTAGTTAATTTTATAGTTGCTTGGTAAGTAATTGGTCCACTACCTTTACTGGTGGGTTTATTTTCACTGGTGAAAACTATTTAGGCTTAAGAACATATCCATCTACAGAAGTCCCTTTAACACATCCTGTAATGCTGGTTTAGCAGTTATGAATTCCTTCAGCCTTCGTTTATCTGGGAAATGTTTTATCTCCTTCATGTTTGAATGTCAGTCTTGCTGAGTAGAGGATTATTGGTTTAAAGTCCTTCTGTTTCAGTACATTAACAATTTCATGTCACTCCCTTCTGGTCTGTAAGGTTTCTGCTGAGAAGTCTGCTGATAGCCTGATAGGGTTTCCCTTATACCTAATCTTTTTTCTCTCTCTTGGCTGCTTTCAGTACTCTCTCCTTACCCTTAATCATTGTCATTTTAATTATTATGTCTTGGTGTTGTCTTCCTAGGGTCTTATTAGGGGCTCTGTGTGCTTTTATGACTGGAACATTATTTCCTTCCCAGATTGAGCAAGTTTTCAACAATTATTTCCTCAAAGATACTTTCTATCCCTTTTTTGTCTTCTTCTGGCACCCCTAGTATGCCAATAGTTTGATTTGGAGTTTTCACACAGCTCTTATCATTCTTTCATTTCTAGAGATTCTTTTTCTTCAGCTTCATTGTGCTCCTGTTCTCTGATTGCTGCAAGTGGAGGAGACAATGAGATGGAAATCTGTTACTCATTCCCACCATTGTATATTTCATTTCAGTTACTGTATTCTTCAGCTCTGAGTGGCTCTTTTCCAGCTTTTCTATCTGTTGAAGTCCTTCCTGAGATCTTCAATACTTTTCCACAGATCAGTGAGCATATTTATGACTGTTACTTTGAAGTCTTATCAAGGATATTGCGGAGCTGTTTCATTTAGCCCTCTTTCTGGTGTCGTATCCTGTAGTTTTGTTTGGAACAATATTCCTCTGCCTCCTTTGAATTAGATGGATCTGCTATGCTTCCTCGTCTAGAGAGTAATGGCTTTATGAAGAAGTCCTGTGGTGCCCAGAAGCTCAAGACTCTTTCCTCCCCAGTGCCTGGTTCTCCTTTGCAGTGGAGCCCCAGTTGCTGTTGCTGAGCAATGAGTAGGGCCGAAAGGTGGCCCACCTCAGTCTGCTGCAGCCAGCCCTATGTGATCAGAGCAGTGGTATTCTGCAGCGATTGTGTGCAGGGCACTCTCTGCCTGCTGTACATCAAAGGCAGCAGGGCTCATGGCACCAGACAAGGCGTCCCATAAGGTGGAAGGAGTATTCGGACCTACCTTCTGCAGGCACCTCTCTAACTGGGCTGAGACAGGGCTAGAAAAGCCTCCCTCCACCTGCCAGGCAGCAAAGTCTGACTCTGCTGGGCAGAGTAGGCTGGTGCACTGGTGGTGCTCAGAGAAGCATCTCTTAGCTGAGCCACCAGCAAGGGGGATGGAACATTTGGGGCTCCCAAGAGTGCCCTACCTGTTGGGCTGGGGAAGCATCGTCCTTCTTTCCTTTCTCCTGCAGAGACCTCCGTCCAGCCCTTTCCCTTCTGGCACCCTTCCCTCTGCTGCTTCTGTATTGGATCTCAGGGGGCCTGGCAGAGCATGCCTGTCCTCCACAAGCAGTTGGACTCTCAGCCTCCCTGGTGTCCAGTCCTGCTAATCACCAGAACCCATGCAGTATGGACTCATGTTCCTAGAGATCTCCAGGGCCAGGTGTGCAGAGTCCCTAAGTGCCTATCGCCTCCCTGCTTTGTTCCTCTTCCTCCAACCTTTGAGGCGGGATGGGTCCACTTGAAGGCAGCTCTGCCACTTACCCTTCTCTGTGTGGGCTTCTCATCTTCCCCAGGTGCAGGTGGTCTGGTCGTGTTCAGGTTTAGTTGTACCTGCTTCCTTGGCATGCATACGTGGGAGGACTCCGCCCTGCATGCCTACCCTGCCATCTTCTAAATTCAAGTCCCAGAAATATTTATTGTCTTAGAAAGGAAATACACTGGCATTCTTAAAATGGATGTATATTTAGTATATTTACCTTCAACCCACTTGGCAATTAAATTTTTTTTCCATAAATTCATAAACTTATCTGACACCATAAATATTTGCACATATTTGCTGATTTTTGAGAATGCTTAACTATTTGAGGACACAGACTAACATTCTGAGAAAGCATTTTTTATAGAAAGTCATAGACTGAATAATAAAAAGTCTACACAGTAAGACTTTTGATAGCAGAGCTCCTCTTGAATTTCTGCTGCCAGAAAAACATGAGGCAATAGAAATAAAATGTAAAGAGGGCACAGCTAGCCTTCTTGCAAGAACAGCTCGTTAGCAGCTTTTGGTTTTCCATTAAGCCAAGCTTCTATCATGCTCTGGTCCACTAGGTCCACTCTCAGTAGCAGTAGAACAGTATTTCAGTTCAGGTTAAGTTTTTTACCTGTTTTTTTACCTATATTTTAATACATGTTACTGATTTAAAAATATATTTCTCTGGAAATATTCATGTCTTATATTGTTTCAAAGACCTTACATTTTTATTCTTTCCTAAACTATACTGCTCAGACAGGTCTGCCATGGACCCCATTCTATAATGTTTACTACTAAATACTGCCATTAAAAGGTTACCAGTGTACCATTTTATATATAGCATATTTTGAGTACATTCTTTGGAGAGCATTACATCAAAGTTTCTGTGTTGAGGTACTGAAACTCATCAAACATGGTCTTTGACTTCCTTATTTTGAATAATTCAATTCATCTTCTTTCCTTCAAAATAAAGCTGAGGAATATCTGCAGTGCTGACTGCTCATTTTAGACATGTGTCTCATTTCCATTCTAAGGGAGAACAATGAAGAAAATTGAGTTCCCAGGGGACTTGCCCTTGCCTGGAGCCACTGCTTCCTGGGTTAAGCACAGGTCTCACAGGTAGAGGCTGGTTAGGCAGTTGCCTGCTTCAGATTCCTCAGAATTTTTAAAAGGGATTCTCTCTCAACAGAATTTCCTTGATTCTATTTGGCTTCAGGAATCTGGGTCGCTATGCCTCTTCCTAACCCGCCTAATTGTCTTTCACTGTAGGAGGGTCGCCCTGACGGATAGGATTTATTACTCTTACTCATGCCACTGTTTTGAACTTGTGAAATAGGATGTTTTCTCAATATCGTATTTTACAGAAATTGTGGAGTTTTTCTTCAAAATTCCATTTCTGTCACTGTTTCCACAATCTTGCTTATCTACAATCAGATCACAGGACTTCATCTCCTTTCATTTTTTCCTAAGACTCACACATTCTCCAAGAGCTAGTCTGTCACCATCCCCTTTTTTGTGCCATCATTCCCCATTTATTAGTCATCCTTATCTTATTCTTAATAGTGACTCCCTGGTCATTTAGTGGAATCAAATACTACCATCCAAAGTTCTATTAGGCATAAAATATGCGTTATTTCTACAGTTTGGACAGCCAAGATAATTTAAGAAAACTGCCTGAGGATTCAGCCTGGGTCATTATGTGACTTTTCAGATCTGCACTGTCACCAGAGCCATGGTGCCTGCCTCTCACCGTGACACTCAGTCATGCATCCAGGGCGATCTAATATTACTTTCTGGTTATTTGGCATAAAGGAGCCCTGTATTGTAAACTGAGTTATATGTCTCTGATGTCTTGATCTAACATCTCACAATTTACCTGTTTCCCTTCTATTTCCTCATAGCTCCTCATTCCACAGAGCAGATTCTCTTGTGCGGCCAGTTCAGCAGCACTTTCCCTCCACAGCTTTCCTTGAGCCTTCCCAAGACATGTTTCTGTGGACAGTCCTGAAATGGCTCACCCATTCTGTAATGATTCAGCAGAACCAAGAAAGGTTATTCCATTCTTTAAATGCTATGCTATTTAAAGATAGACTTTCAATATGTTTTTATGTTGTCTAGCTTAGCCCTTTATTTCAGATCTCCTTACCCAATGTATTAGATCTGGCAGACACCTGGACCATGATCATTTCCAGACCCTCCAAAGTGTCAGGCACCAGACTAGGCACTGGGGACCCAAAGACAAGCCACAGATAGGCTCCGCCCTCAGGGAGACCTCTTTTGCTACTGAAACAGATGAGGTCTCCCTCTGAAACAGCTCATAAGCATTTCTCCTATACTTGCTCCTGATCTAGGGTGTAAGATGTACAGAATTATAAACCTAAGCCATAAACTTAGATAAGAGCTGAAAAAGCATCTTGTTTTACTTAGTGAGGCAACTGAGGCCCAGAGAAGAGTTTAAATGACTATCTAGAAGTCACAGAGCAAGATTTACACCCAGATCTTAGAACTTTGGTGATCTGGTATCCATTCTGCAGCCATTTGTCACCCTCCTTCCCCATCTCACATATAGGACAGTCTGGAATGAAGGCCTAAAATTAAGCAGGACTCCATTATAGTTGGGTTCTTATGATTAAATCGGGAATTAGGAAAGGCCATCTTGGAAATATGTGGAGAATACACGCAAATCACTTACTTGTAGATCTCATCTCATCCAGGTAGTATTTATGCCTTTGTAGTTGGGCTTCACTGACGTGCCACAGTCTTACAGCAAAACAAAATTCTCTCACCTCATGGAGATGACATCCTAGTGGGAGAAAAGAAATTAGAAAGCTTGCTAGTTTGTCAAATGGTGATGAGTGCTATGGGCCAAAAAATGGAATATCGCGGTCTAGAAGAAAGCAAGGAGACTGTCGGTGGGGCAGATGAGAGGTGATGGCCCGTCGACCACAGACATCCCTGCAAAGGCAGGTAGCGCTCATCTGCAGACTACATTTTGAAGGTCAAAAACAGACTGGATATTGGGTAGGAGAGTAAATGTCAAGGTTTCTCAGACTTTGGGCATGGAAGACTGGAAAGATGACCATGGACTCCACTGAGTCATGAATTTTGCAAGGTGGTCACTGTATTTGGCTCTATAAATACTAGATAAATGAGAAAAAAATTCTCCCTCGAAGTGCCTTGTCCAGGAGACAAGACAAACATATGAACATAATTATCACCCTTCTTGGTTATCACGCTAGAGGGCCTCAGCAGTAGTGCTGTGAGGGCAGTTACCTAGCCAGGCACGTAAGGGAAGACTGCCAAGCAGGAGGTGCACCTGGGCCCAGTCTGTGGTTCTTGGTTTGGCATCACTATGGGCTGATTTTAGAAGGACACATTGTATTATATTCACAGATTTAGAACAACTAATCAAACCAGGCTGGTGGTAATTTTTTGGTTCCATTTCAGACCACAGTTATGCAAGATTGATCAGAAAGAAAAGCCTAACGTAGTCTTTCCACCCAGGCCTATCCTACCATTTCCCATTGCAGGAGCCTTCTTCCTCTATGCCGGCTTTGCTGCCACGGGTCTCCTGTTCATCTACGGCTGTCTTCCTGAGACCAAAGGGAAAAAATTAGAGGAAATTGAATCACTCTTTGACAACAGGCTATGTACGTGTGGCGCCTCAGATTCCGATGAAGGGAGGTATATTGAATATATTCGGGTGAAGGGGAGCAACTATCATCTTTCTGACAACGATGCTTCAGATGTGGAATGATTTCCAGCTGCCTAGTGACTTAACAGACTTGAGGGAGAAAAGCAGCAATTGGTGACCTCACTGCCCTGCTTCTAATCTTGTTCTTTCCCGTCTAGGTTTGAATGACAGCATATCCTAGAGTATTTGGTTAGAAGGAAGATGCAACCATGATGACTTTCTTTCACAAGCAGAAATGTAAAAGAAAATATTCAGAGGAATTTTAATAGTTATTGAACAAATGCTGTGTAATTCCTTCCTGAGATATTGTATCCAGTGACTTCAGTGGTTTCCTTCTTTGCTAAGACCACATAATAATCATTAGTGGCAACAGTGTCAGTGCTAATGCAGCTGAGTCACACAGGTATACAAAGAGGATCTGGGATACGGTCCAAGGATGTTTTCCATAAAAACATGGCCTGCTGGCCCTAAATTTCCCTAAGGACAAGTAGCTTACCTGTGATCACTTGTTCGAAAGTAAATTTCATTTAAGCTTTCATAAAAAAATTCAGAAGTGCCTCCTACAAGGGGCGCGGTCATCCTTACCTCCTTTTGGTTCTGTTTTGGTTTCTCTCCAGTTCAGGCCTTGAGAGAGTTCTTCAGAAACTGACTCTGCACAGGACCTTTTGAATGTGATGAAAAGCAGGTCTGTTAAAGAGTTTATTTTCATACATAATTTTTGTATAGATAAGCTATCAAGTTTTGATAAGAAAGAAAAGATTTTTATGGATGCCTGGTTGAGTTAGGATACAACTGTCAACCCAAAATAGCACCAGTTCTTCAACTCTATTTCAGGGTCAGTTTTTGTTCATGCCAACATCACCTGATACTCACCACGCGTCAACTCCAGAGTCCCATCCGTGCCTTCACTTGTGTTATACTAATAGCTGCCAGCAGACTATTTTTCCCTTTCATGTATTAAATAATGGGACTTGGTTCCCTTAGGAGAAGTTAAGAAATTGTCACATTATATCACTTAATAGTACTTGTCTTTTTTTTTTAATCTAAGAGGATAAACTTGTTTTTATTTTGCACACCCTTTTCCCTCACAATTTAACAACAAAAAAAAATAAGACAGATTTTTCTGTGAGTGTTCCCTTTTACTCATGGCTGGCTTGGAATTTTTTCTTTCTGGCTTGGAGATACGTATAATAATCCAGAAATTGAGATTTTTCTATTGGAACAGATTAATGCTTCTACTATAGCACATGTCTTTAAGAAATGTTTACTTACATTTCTACAAAGTTATGCTCATTCATCAATGAACTCTAATTTTTGATCTTATATTAAGAACTATATAATATGTACAAAATTACTTGCTAGTTCCAGTGAAAATATGAATGAATCTTCTGTGGCCAGTTAGGAACACATAAGACTGGTGCATTTTAACATGCCTCTAATTATCTAATAAGGCACTTTTGGGGGTAAAATGTGGCTTAGATAAGAGAACAAGAAGACATCAAAGAGACTGGCAGAAACACTGAATTTAAAGTCTGGCTTGTTCCTACGCAGTTGTCAGCGCTGAAAGCACAGCCAAGAAGGTTCATTCTCTTAGTCACTTGGGTATTTTATGTGCTTAAACGGTCACTTTACTGGCCTAAAAATCCTTCAGCCAAAATAAAGTTTTCTCCCTTTCGATCACTGCATATTACAAAAATCTAGAGTTCTTTTTCCCTAGAATTAGGTGCTTTGACAATTGGTTTCTAAGGGGACATTTATTGATTTTTCCCCAGAAAAGCAGATGTGATTTAATAGAGAAAATTATTATCTATTGTTATTTATCCTGTAAGAAATTTCTTATCTGTGTAATGTGAGAGGAGTAAACTGAGAAGTGGGAAATGAGCTATTATGTGGTCAAGTCAGAATATAAGGGGGAGAAAAAGTACATAGACCAATAAAGTGCCGTCTTTGAAAATTTATTTTTCTGATTTATCCAGATAATTGTTTTTATTGTATATATAGCCTTAACTATATGCTTACCTACTCAGCTGGGCTGAATGCACAGTAACTTTATTAAAGGAGCAACTGGGCTAACATAAGTAAGTGGTGTTTTAACTTGGTATTTACAAATGCACATAATAAAGGGAATTTTAGCCACAGTTCTCCTCCCCTATTCCTCTGAACCCCTTCTTTAAAGGATTATTTGTTATATGTGTATATGTATATATACACATAGTGATAAAGATAATCCATATCTTTGAAGTACAGGACAGAGAGGTGCAGTATGAGATTTATAATTTTTTTGAAACTACTTAAAAAGAAAACTTGTACAATTAGGGTATTATTTTTAGATTCAGTAAAAGTATTTATAGTATCTTAAATTTTGAATTTTGAGGGTTTTTTTATATCATGCACCATTTAGGTTCTCAACACTTCTGGCTACCACTATCACCTTGAAAACATTCCATTTGAAATAGAAATATACATTGTACAGGACAATTTATATATGGTATGATCTGACTTACCATATTCAAATAGATTAAGCATCATGCTTTTAACTGAAATTACAGGCTTCCTTCCAAACATGCTGCAAATTCAACAGAGGTATGTTTTGGGAAAACATGGAGGAGGTGGTTGTAACCCCTATTCAGGCTTACTTAACATGATGGCTGATGAGATCTCATAACATTTCATCTGAACACATAATGGCTGAATATGATGTCAGGTAAGTTTTAAAGTTTTGGTATTAATATTTTTCTTCAGTAAACATTCCTACTAATTTTGATTGTTGTACCTTAGTAATTACCCAAAACATGATTTCAATGTGTATGTGAAAGATCTAAATTCTGTTCCCAGCCATGTGCAGTAATTAGTTCCCTGGTGAAAAATGCTGACAGTAATGCTGTCAAGTGCTTTTTCATAATTTTAAGTTATTTGCTGTAAAATGGGAAATCTAGAAAAGTGAACAGGAAGAATATGTAAGTTAACAACTTACCCTTTTGCACCAGAAGGTAAGACTGAGATACGTATAATAATCCATAGATCCTGGGGGGAGGAAGAAAGTCTCACAATTCAGTGACGCTAACATAGCTTATAAATACTGTAATGCATGAGGACAGTGGTAAGATTGTTTTATTGTAATCTTTTTTTTTTGACCATACTCCTAGTTATAAAATCTCAAATTATACTAAGCACCTAACTAGTATTTATATAGTTGTTATGACAAATTTTCAATTACCAAATTCGACCTTTTCACTAACTACAAATAAAAGATTGATATGCCAGGCCAGGAGCAGAGAATTTGTAACATGCACTTTATAGCAAATCGTGGATAAAACTTAAGCTCAAATTGTGGATAAAACTTAAGCTCATATGTACCCGCTGCCTATAAAAAGACTCAGAGTTGTTCTCTGGATTAACATCCTGCTTTCTGTCAGTCTATCAGTTTTCTTACCCTCGTGTACAGCACCGGCAAGCTGACTTCATGACGTGGTTGAGGCCGGAGCAGCATGTCAGTTATCAGTACATTCAGTTCTGCTGGGTGAGCAATATTGCTGTTTTTTAGAAATAGCAATCATTTTTATTTTTTAAAATGTCAAACTCTCTTGTATATTTAGAGAGGAAATTTTTGTGTGCCAATAATAATCAAAGACATATTCTGCAGGAGTGTTAATGGTGTCCACAAGTACAGGACAGAATTTTATTATAATTTGCTTGTGAATGTAAAACAGTGTAATTTCTATAAATCTTTGTGTGTATAAAAGAGTCTGTTGCACTTAGGTGATACGGTCTACAGAATGTTAAATACCTACCTTCATTTAGCAGTAATACTCAGATTTTTATTTTACATTGTTCATGTGTTTGCTTTTGTTAATAAAAACGAGGAAAAGAAATGCAGCTTACAAGAACTTAACATTAAAAACTGATACTTGATAAAGTTTTTAAATTTTAGCAAATTAAAATCATTCCAATTCATTTGAAGGTTTAAAAAGAAGAGACTTTAGCCAAAGCAAAAATTTATATTCTCCATGTTCAAACTGGTTCCTAGTAGCTTTTGGAATATATCTCATTTGATGTTTTATCTTTTATTTATAATAAATGTTCAAATTTCTACATAGAATCTGTAATGTACATCTAGATTAAATCACAGTTTTATGCTTTTAAAATATATGTATTTCAAAATGTACATTTTGAGTGCATGTTACATAGTGTTTAATATTTCACACATCTTGGTAAATTCAATATTTATTCCCACATGTGATATATGGAATATCTCTTAAAATTATGAATATGTATCAAAGTCATTCTAGCCTATAGCTATATTAAAAGTATTGTATATTTTATGGAGATTAAGTGATGTATATGTAAATGTTTTTTAAGTTATTTTACTGAAGTTCAATATTTACATAAAATTTGAATCTTTTTTTAAAGTGTCAGTGCCAGAACTGTAAATAAAAATAATCAAATAAAAGTTAAGACAGTTCATTACTCAATCATCTCTTTCACACTTCGTATTGTCTCTAATTCTCTTCCTTGGATTTTGGGATCTAAGATTATTAAATCTATTCACTTGAATTTTACTTCTTTCTTTTGATGTTGAGTAAACTCAACTATCTTTAAAAAGCGTTTCATAATACCTAATAGTATTTTGAGGGTCCTGAGCACCTCTTTCGCCGTGTTATATTCACTATCTCTGGTTGTTGTGAGAACCTGACATTGATAGGACCCATTACATGGGGCTGGCATAATTCTGACTGTTGCTTTGTAAATGAAAGTAATATACCTGCTGGATGACCAGTGGACAGTTCGTTCCTTCTGGAACTCTGTTGTTCTCCATCGCCATTCGGCCCCAACTAAATTTAGCAAGCAGCCACTAGACACACCTCCAGTTAGGGTGGGCCACCCCAGTCCAACTGCAGAAATAGCCGGAGAGCCTGTGAAGACATTGGGTCCACTGTCACCCAAAGGCTTACAAGGGGATTACATCTTAACCAAAGATACTGATGTCAGCAGGTTAAGGCAAAAATAGGACAGCCAAAATTAGTCAAAACCACCCTTGAAAAATTCCACAAATTATGCAAAAAAGTGTCCATTTACCTGGAGAGTGCACAAAATGGCCACTTACCCAAATAGCGCAGTCAGTATTAGTGGTCAGTAAAGTCCTCATTTAATTGTCCAATCCTGTGAGATAAACATTATTGTCCTTTTATGGATACTAAAACCTAAGTTCAGGACATTTTGGTGACTTGCCCAAGATCACACACTAGTGACACAAATTTTCTCTGCAGCGGCTATTCCAGCAATCTTCTTCTCTCAGTCCCCCCCCCGGAATGTCTTTTTGTCAGACCTACGCAGTAGGAGTATAAAAAGATATAGGTCAGAAACCTGGGTCTGCATAAAGAAAAGAAGACTATCAGAGAAGAATGACTAAAGGGAAAATAAAAACTTCCATTTTTCTTACTCTTAATCTGTTGAACAGTTGGCAGTTTACTCAATGGATAGCTGACATACAAATGAAATGACTGGCAGTGACAGAGGCGCAGGAGAGAGGAAGTAGGTACCAGGGATGCGAGCTGCCTGTGAAGCAGCAGTGTTTGCGGACAGTGGACCTGTATCAGCTGTACATGCACCTTGCAAACTCTAGGGCAGCCTCTAAAGAACGAAGAAGTACACTGAGAAAAGAGGGGGATGGAATCACATGCTCAGGTAAAAAGCACAAAAGGCAAAAAAAGAAAACAAAATTAAGAACAAGTCAACAAACAGAAAACTGACTGGATCTTAACTGTTCCCACCACAAAAAAGAAAGGATTATGTGAGGTGACAGAGGTGTTAGCTAACAGTATGGTGGCACTAATATTGCAATATATAAATGTATCAAACCAACATGATTGTACACCTTAAATCCACACAGAGCTATGCAGCAATTATCATTCCCTAAGAATAAAGTTTCCTGGGCTACATCTGCAGGGATTTTGCTTCAGCGGGTCAGATGAGACCCGAAGATCTGCATGTGAAACACACACACGTAGCGCCAACGCTGCTAGTCTGAGGACCACACCTTGAACCACTGTCCTGACAATCTGTTTTGTGAGTTCTGTATCCATTTGCCAGAAGTAAAGCATGTCAATACTTCTTTTCGTATACAGAACTAACTTACTCTACATGCTGATCATCTGAAATTCGTTTTTTAAGTGCATGAATTACAGTTCAGGTTCCATTTCTGGTGCTGGTTCCCTGGAGGTTCCTGCTCTTGCCCTTCTGCTTAGGGAAGCTGTGATTATGTTCTCTGTGTCTCCAGTTTGGGGGCAGCAATTTGTCCTGTGACCTCCTGCTCATACGGAAGAGATGTTGATTTTCAGTTTGTTCAGCTTTTAACTTGTTATTGGGAAGAGTACAACTTCCAAGCTCCTCCCTTCATGCCAACTGGAAACCTAGTGAGCTTCCTCAGCTCTGTAGAATACACTTCTAAAAGCTCCAGCTGTGGGAGACATAAAACCTTTTATACACTTTATGGAGCTTTTTCATCCTAGGAGAAACTACTAGAATAGCAAAGTGGCCAGACACACTGAAGCCTTATCAGAGGTGTTCACAGGCAGGGAAGTCCCTTAGCTCCAAAACAGCTGTACCTTTTAGAAACCAAAAATAAATTTAACGAGAAATTTCAGGTAACCTGAAGTGGCAGCAGAGAAGCCCTCAAACTGCTAGATGTGAAAGAGTTCATTTATCAACATACTTAAAAACAGACATAGGTAAAACTGGCAATTGCATGATCTTTTCCTCCCTCAAAAAAAGAAAAGGATGTTTATGGAGAGGAGCCTGATGTTTAAAAAAAAGCCGTCCAGCTGAGCACAAATCAGACACATTAATAGTCGCTGTACTGACATAACCCAATTCCTGTGAAATGAATCACATAATCAAATTCTTCTATCCTCAGTAATACTGTTTCTCCTCAGCACAATGGAGATACCACATTCTCATTATAATCCTTAATAAGATGATGACCAGGCTGGCTAAACCCACTGATAGGCTTGTATGTCCCCAGGATATGGTTAAGTCCTATGTAACCTATTTTTTTAAATGGAAGAATATGACTTATAAGCTCAAGGTCCTTTGGAATAACAGAATGAGAGATTTAAAGGCATAGAAAATTAATTTTTGCAGGGGGAAATACAGAAGTTTTGAGAAGACCTGAAATCCTTTTTATAAATTAAGGATATGTTTAAGAATATAAAGGGGCACTTTTATTCATGAAACAACTACTCGTGTTACATTAAATTTTAAAAGTGACTTATTTAGACAACACAGATTGGGTTTCCTTGTATGTGGCTCTAATTTTATTATAAAAAGAATCATTGAATAGCTGAATTTTAAAGATTATCTCTTAGTTTGGGGGAAGCAAGAAAAAAGTAGAGAAGAGAAAAAAACAATGTTCTAAAAAAACCCACAGAAATTATATTTTCTGAGCAGATACAGTTGGACTCAGAATCTTTATAACAAAGCAAGACCCTCGAATGATTGCCTCCGGTGATTCACATGTCTGACCACAAATTATCCTTTCAAGTAAGTGATTCCAAGATGCACACTGAAGAAAACCTTAATATCATCATTCATACTTAGCAAAGCGGAACCACCTAAACCAAAATGCACACACAAACAAAAAAGATGTTAAATAATTAATTAAAATACATTGTTTCAGTGAAAACGGATACCTATTTCCTATTAATTCAATATAAAACTTTTTGGAAAGCAATATAATCAATGCATATTCTAAATTCTAACTTCACTTTGGCCATAGGAAATACACCACAGGAAATAAAATTGACTTGCTAAAAAAAGTCCAGAATTATGTATACTATAAAATGGTACTAAGTGCTTAGTAATGAAAACATTCTTTCCTACATGTACTTTCACTTACTGCCTATGCTATGCCTCCGCCAACTCTAAGGCGTTTAAAAGACTTTGGTGACTAGGCATCAGCTAACTATTGTTATGCAACAAACCACCCAAAACATAGGGGCTTAAAATCCGCAAGTATTTCTTTAATTCACACATTTGGTGAGTTGACAATTCAGACTGGGACCTGG